GTAATAGTGAGCTACTGCACCAAACAAGTAGCAGCAAAAAGCTCAAACGTAGGTTGACTACCCATGAAAATTAAGTTTGCTACAGTAGGTACAGTATAATATATAAAAGTATCAATGAAATTATTGCTCAGTTTAACTGGAAATATTGGTTGCTGATGTTAACTGCTATGAGTTATTGCATAAATTGAATTGGAAGACAAAAGCTAGTTCCCAACTATCTTACTATCTTAGTGTTTTTTTACTACAATCACGTTTACCGACATTACTTCTTGGATCTTTTTCTCAATTAGAACCATCATAAAACTGCATGCCAATTTTCAATTCTACATTGCTCGTTCAAAAAAGTAATAAAAGCTAAAGAGACAAGATTTAGCCTTGACTAATGACTTAGTGAACTTTACACTCTCTATTTAACTTAGTTTCTTTCATTTCTAAAAATATATATAATTGAAAAACAAATCAGTCTGCTTTACAGCATTTCCACTCCATCTGCACAGGAGATGTGCATCACACATAAAATCAGAATGATTTCCAAAAGCTTTAGAAAATCTTTTATGCAGAAGTGTTCATTTTAAATTTCAAGTTTAAGATGCATTAAAACATTATTAATCTTTGAATAATCATATGTAACGTGTGAAATCTGTGAAATCTGAGAAAACCTCTAATGCAGTACCCATTCCTAAAGTATTGTTACTTATTTATTTGTTTTCATAATAAAATATACCAGGAGCTTTTATTTTTGATGTAATTAAAATTTAATTGCATTTCCCTCATTATGCTTTCAGTATCCACCAGTTAAAGTTGTACAAAATTTTACTTTTAGGATTAAAACTGTTCAATGATTATTTAAATTAGCTCTCCAATGTCCACTGCAAAGAAGAAAAACAATTTCCTAATTACAGCATTTCCAAATAATCTTATGTCCACCAGATAGTGACTGGATAATTATTAGTCCATCATAATAAGAATAATTGAAAACATTTTTTACTTTAAAATAAAATTTTCTGAAAATAAACGCAGGCTGAAAATCAATTAATTTTTTTCATAGTAAGCAAAAATAAATTAAGAAAAGCTTATTTTTTAAGCATTCAGTACAGTTATTCTGCATCTTTTAGAATATATATTGTACCATGGTGACTAGTAAGCATTGGGAAAATAAATACTTTGTCAAAACTTGGATTAACCCATTTCCTTTAACTGTTTAGAATTTACCTGATGGTACCTTTGCAAGCTACTGTACATGTAATCATCATACACACGTGACATAACAGACTACTTGTGTCTGAGACCAAGGGAATGTACTTATCGCAGTAAATTAGTGATAATCTCCAAATACAACTACAAATTCAGTTCTAATAGAAACTAAATCTCAGGATGTTCATCTTAGGCTTGCTTTCTCAAGGCACAATTTGAGTGTTGTCAGAGATTGAGTATGACAAAAAAACAAACCCAGGGGTACTTCAAAACCTAATATTGCATGTAAATTTACAATGCAAATAGGACTGAAAGGAAAACTATTATGAGAAGCTTAATGGAGGCTAACAAAGTGTCTCAAACAGGTTGTGCTACCATCTGGAGTAGACACTTTTCTAATTTTAACAAACAAACTCAAGAATAATACAAAGACATAAACTGCATTTTACTAAAATCCCAGCAATATGTACAGTAGCTGAACATTACCAGAGATAAGTCACCCTCATACTGCATTGATTTGGGGGTGCAAGCAAGAAATAAGGCTCTCTGGATTTCCCAGCTATGAACATATATGAATTAACCACTAAGGTCATAGTTACAGACTACTCATGTTTACTGTTCTTGCAAATGTACAGTATAATATAAATATTGTATAGTGGGGAAGCTATTTCCCAGTCAGAAATGGAATACAGAACATTACATTAATTCATAGATACAAGCCTTCCAAAACCCACTGGTGCTGAAAACTGGAGTTAATGAATTTCAGAATAACTGGCCATATCTCAAAAGACAGTTTCCCTTAGTTTATCTACTGTAGTCTCATCTTTGTGTGTGCAAGTCAGACTTGCTCAGTCCTGATCCTGGAGCGTGGTGTGGCTGTGGGTTTTCATTACAGCTCATTTCCTAACGAGCTAAAGAAGACAGATACTGGCTTAATTGGACCAATTTAACACCTTTTTTTCTGGGCCTTCGTGTGCATTTTTATTAAAGAGACCTAGAAAATCTGAAGACACGGGCCGTTCAGGACCAGAACGGCACAGTCCTGATGTGGGGAAGAAAGCCATTTATTCTAAATAGCATTTGGCCTTTGCAGAAACCATATTGTCTCAAAGAAATTCTGGAATATACTGATTAATATCAATAAAACAAAGTGGTGATGTCCACATGCCTTTTCTGACCACAGATGCCACTGACAAAGAGAAGCTCAGACAATCTTGTAAATATTCACGTCTTTACATTATATTTTTTTCATTTGAATAAATGTTTAATTTTACCCATAGATGAAGTTAAGCAATTCCCAGGTGTACAGTAAGTGCTCTAAACAAAAATCTCCCCAAAAATCTCAATACGTCTGCTTCATATACTCCGTGGATATAGCATGCACTTGCGCCCTCTAGTGTGGTATGTGGAAAATAACCAATCACTCAACACCCACGCAAGCCATGTCCATCAATTTTCTAGTCAAGTCATTCAGTTTACTCCTTTGACTTTGTTTTGTAAACACCTTGTGCTGCTGTTCCTCATAATCAACCCGACAATCAATAGCAATTTATTCCAATCAGTATTAAATCTCATAGCTCATGCAGCTTCTAGACCTTTACAATGTAAAAAATGCACAGCCCTAACAGGAATATTGCTAGATTGCTTTTTTTTTCTTAAATTACCTCCTCAAGAATGGCTTGATCTGTTATCTGGGCTGTGTGATCAATTTAACCAACCTGACACAGGAAATTATTAAAAGCTCTGTCATACTGAAAGCAGTATTGGACATGGACTTTAAAAGAGACTCTTGCAATCAGATTATGCAAGAAAGGCTCCTAAGCGGATTTCCTCCATCTCTATTGAATAAAGTAGTGAGGTAGTAAAAGATATTAAGATATATTGATGGAAAAAACAGCTTTTCATGGCTTGTTATGGCATATCATCTATAATTTAAGTCTCTAAGCTTTTGTCATATTTTGTTCTATAATGTACTACTTTACAGATATTTTGATGATTGTAGAATGATAAATTTTGAAACTTTAAAACTATAGAGGAAACACAAACAGCACATATTCCAATAAAGAGGCCTCTGAAATTACCTTAGTACTTAGATACAGAAAGGGATTTAGGAGAAAAAGTTTTAAAAACTGAATACTGGATATCTGTGCTGAACGTTTTAGGGCTCAAAGCTGTGGTATGGTACCTTGTGATGAGAGTATCAAATATTTAAACCTATCTACCAGCTTAAAAAGCCAAAGTCACGAAAAGACCAGACTTCACATTCAGTGGCAAAAGAAACTTCGAACACTGCAAATGATAAATGTTCTAAGTTCTTCTCAAGATGATAACTGTTGCAATCACATCACTAGACAAATATATCTGTCACATGAATTTGGAACGAAGCTTTTTTTACTTCAATAACAGCGGTTCACAGGTATAGGAAAGTGAAGATCCAAAGCAGCCACATTTCCTTGGTAGTTGCACAAAAAAAAGTGTCAGTCCTTTCTGTAGGTTGATTCATAGCTTGTCAAAACTCTCATTATGGCTTGCTGCCTGGTGATGTCAAAATGCTTCGATGCACGCTAGCAAATTCAATTTGTTTTATTTTTTTTTTTGTTTGGCCTCATGGGTAAAAGGAAAAATAAAATGAGGCTGGCATCAGCACCGACACATGGTGTGCTGAACCACTGCGGACAATCCATACATCTAAACCACCATGGGTCTTCATCATTTAATTACAACACTTCATTTTAAATAATGTAATTTCACTTTCAAAAGCTCAGTTATCACGGCTGTCATTGTGCTGTAGCTATAGTGAGGCAACACCCATATATAATTTGTTTTCCAGTCCCAGTACCGTACCGTAACTAAATATCAATCAGCAGTAGATCATTAAAGTCTTCATGATATCTTTTAACAAATCAATTTTTTTATGCCTGGTCTATAGTCTAATTGCAAGTATTTTTATTTGTCTACTAAAAGCTATGCTTAAATTTTATTGTTTTTTTCAATGGTAACCAGACTATCTCTTAACAGTATGTGCATTAAGTAAAATATGTATTTTTCATTCTTTTGCAGATTAACCCTACCACATTTTAAAAAAATCAAAACAGTAATGTATATCAATACTTCCACAGAGGCACATTTAGTTCAATTACAGTAGCTTGAAATATAAAAGTAAATATAACTCGTATTATTATACCTATACTTTAGCAGAAAAACATTTTATCGGCTTTTTAAATGCTTCAGTTGCAAAACTACTGGTAAAGAGTCCCACTAGATTTTGTAATGAGTTAATTGCAGGTTGGGGGATCACATATTATAGTCTTTAGGTCAGTTTTACTGAAGCTGCTCAAATTAAAGTTTGAACTTTAGACTGAAACATGTTTTAGTCCATCACTCTAGTTCACTTGCGAACTGCAGTGGTCTATGAAGTATGGCATAAAAAGCCAGTCCCCTCCACCATGTCAAGACTTATCTCATGTCACCAGGCCTCTTGCATGTTGTAATATTAGGAAATATCTGCTGTAGCCACCACTTCAGAGAATATCAAAATAAGGTTTTGATTTATACATCAAAAACAAGAAGATTGTTTGGTAGCTCAGCAGAATAACTTGATTAGTTTACTGGAGATGAAAAGGCAGTTTCACAGCAGGGACGAGCAGCAAGCCATAATTCTCCTGGCTCTGTTCTGGAGAAGGAAAAAAATCGGGTGAGGGCGTGTCTAAAAATAATGCAAGAGAACAGGCCGGGGCTTTCGCTGCGGCCTCTCCACAGTGATGGGCATCATCGAAGTGGTCTAATGAAAAGGGGAGTATACTTACCAAACTGGCAGTGAGAGAGGGTGCTGACTGGCCCAAAGTCTGAGAACGCATGCGGACCAAATTGGAGGTCTCTGCTGGAGTCAGCCATGCCTGCGGAGCAGAAACGTAGGGTAGCAGATACTTCCCTGTAACAGAAATCAGAGACATTATATAATAAGATGAGAGAAAATAAATAACC